ATCATTAGTACATTAGCATAAACTCTTTCCTACAAAGCATATTGATAAGCCTATTTCCACTTGCCATATATGATTATCTGTAACTGGAATTTTCTAGTAGCTACATGCAAATTTATTCTTAGTTAGGGGTTTGTTTTCTATTGATAATTTCCCTTTTCTCCCCAGCCAAATGTCATATTTTGGTCAGCCCAATTCCAGTTTCACCTTTGGTCATCTGACCAGGGTCCTCCCAGACTTCTTCTTTTCCTTTGCCAGGGACAGGTCATGGTCAGGGTGACCTGTCTGTCAAATTTCTGCTGGGTTGCAGGTGGTTGGAGCTAAGAATAAGCATGCAGCAAACACAAATATTGGTTTCCTGCCTATTGAGCTGGGCCCAGAAGCCTTTGGGTTCCAACACATAACATCTATGAATCTATGAAAATCTTTTTCTGCTTTCTATGTAGTGACCCAAGGTAAGAATTTTTGGCAGAAAAAACTGTAGCCTGAACACAAAATTTGCATACATGAGTTTTAACTATTCAGAGGGATTGTTCAAGTTTTATTTACATAGTGACACTTATGTATGGCATTGATGAGTTCTTTTCATTAATGGTATGACTATACTGTAAATAATCCCCAGTTTTTGCCTACATTTTGGTTCAGCACTTCCACCTGAAAACAGACATTACTGGTTAATGCATAGGAACTGCAGAATAAACAAATTTCTGTAGCTGATTAGAGTAGGTTTCAGCAGGTGGATACCAATGGACCAATGATGCAGGTGTCAAATTTAAACTCAAGTTTGTGTAAGTCATCATATTTACTGTGCAGTACCAGCATGCACATGTAGACATGAAGCCATACTGTGCAGTAATTTTGGTTATTGTGCAGTAAATGTGCACATGTAGACATGCCCAGTAAATATTAATTCTTCTGAACCCGAAATACATGCAAGCTTTTTGCAAGTTCTTGGAACTGATAGTTGAGTATCATACAATCTACAGTTAAAGCAAAGAAAACACTAGCATGCATCTACTGTTTCTACCAATGATCCACTGGTATCCACAAACAAATAAGGAAGGATAGGGAAGATCTTGGATCATATGTTCAATTTATGAACTGGCAAAACTAAAAACTTCCACCTAAAATACAATAATTTATTCAATATTTTCACCTTCTCCCACAGGGTATAACCACAGAGTAGGGAGAAATGGAAGCTTCAGTTAACATCTAGGAAAGCAGAGTAACTCAGGCTATCTCAGGAGAATATGGAATTTGTGTTGGGGAAGAGAAATATTTCCTTAGACCACAGGCAGGTTACACATTCCATAGAAGCCTTTTTATGACTCATGATGGTAATGAATCTGATAGGAGGCTCCCATGCTTGGAAAACACAACCATTATTTGCTTCTTTTTATGAATGAGGCATGAGAACTCTGTATTTTTGCTTTTACTGTCGTGTTTTTGTTATTCTGCAGAAGAGTTGATTGGAAAGTAGGATTCCCAGTGGATGGGAAATATTTAATAAAATATTTTTTAATCAACAATTTCATAAAATTTGGTTTTGGAAACCCCAGCATATTGTATTTCCAAAATGAAATATATTCCACCCTGCAACTGCTCAGTGAAATTGATATACTTATCTGCTTCATCACTGCTACAGCATAAAGTTTTGTAGTACCTGGACTGGACATTAGGAAGAACTTCTTCACAGTTCAAGTGACCAAGGTCTGGAATGGGCTCCCAAGGGAGGTGGTGCTCTCCCCTACCCTGGGGTTCTTCAAGAGGAGGTTAGATATGCATCTAGCTGGGGTCATCTAGACCCAGCACCCTTTCCTGCCTATGCAGGGGGCCGGACTCAATGATCTATTGAGGGCCCTTCCAACCCTAACATCTATGAATCTATGAATCTACCTCATGCATTGAGCTGTGGATGCCTTTTTTAAAATCCCCACTTTACAGATCAAGAAATAATAAATTAAATGTCTTTTTTTAATTAAAATTCTTATTTTCATCCTGTCTTTTGACAAGAATATGCTGCTGCAAAACAGCATTCAATATTAAACTTATTAAAAATATCTATTAAACATACATTAACTTATTGTCTGTCTCCTAGTTATACTTAGGCAGCAATATATTTTGTTATATTAATAACAATTGTATTATATTTTTCAGTGATGGAGTAATTAGAATTCAGAGGGCAATACATTTGAGCCACAAAAGTATGTTGGGATAATAAAAGTAATATTCTTACTTTATTTGTAGCTTGAATAATTACAAGCATAATTACTAATGGCCATAATAATATTCAGCTTAAATTTAAATACTGGCATACTATGATTTAAAGGTACCCTATGAGACTAACAGATATCACAGATTGACTGTTTTTTAAATGATATACTGTTTCCTGGGAGTTTTATTTCACTTTTCCTCATATTAATAGGCAATGTAAAAAGTGAATGAGAAATCAGTTTTCACTTACAAATTTGAATCTCTCAATCAAATCCCTATTCCATTAGTCCTTCTTGTTTTCATTAGGTTACATAATTTTGTTAAAAGTGTCCCAACCCCTCCCCCATGCTTGGTACATGCATATGTGTCTGTTATACTTTACACTTTATGACCCTTATCATTTAGCTCCAGCTTATGTTTCAGTTGTGGAGATTGTTGGCTCAATTCTTGATCTCTGCCAACCTAGCACTTATTACATGTCTTGACATATTTATATTTTTCAATGTCTATAACAGACATCAGTCCAGTCTAGTGGTTCTCAAACTGTTTAGACTCAAGGCACCCCTCTTTAACTTTTTCTGACAGACAGTCTGTGCTCTAGCCTGTTACCAGGAAGGAGAGGTAGACACCTCCTCTGTATCCCAATAGAGCTCTATCCTCTCCATAGAGTTGCATTGTTTTTTACTTTAGACACCTTCAGTTCCATCCAACTCAGTATCTCTTGGAAATAGAGAAGCACAGCCTTGGTAGCGGGGGCAGAATGGCACCCCTGAAAGGATCTTGTATCACCTCAGTTGTGAATATGGCTATCCCACAATATTTGGTCCCAGTCCTGAACTGTATGCAGACCCAGATACCTAAGTGGCCCCAAAATTCTTTTTATGAAAAGAATTATTTAATGTTAATCAAGGAATCTATCTGCGATAAGCTTGCAGAAGGTAAGATTCTGAATTACAGCCAGTGTGGCTTCATTGTGGTCAGGTCTTGCCTTACCAACCTCATCTCCTTCTATGACCAGGTAACTCACCACATGGACAGGAGAGAGCAGGTTGACATTATATACCTTGACTTTCAAAAGGCCTTTAATCTAGTATCCCACAATATCCACACAAGAAACTGGAAGATTGTGGACTTAACTCCAAGACAGTCAGATGGGTGATAAACTGGCTGCAGAATAGAACCCAGAGAGTTGTAGTGAATGGATCTGTGTCATCCTGGTGAGAAGTGGACAGTGGTGTCCCACAGGGTTTGGTGCTTGGTCCTGTACTTTTCAACATCTTTATTAATGATTTGGATATGGGGGTGAAGTGCTCACTGGCCAAGTTTGCAGATGACACCAAGTTATGGGGAAGTGTGGTCATGCTAGCAAGTTGGGTGAATCAGAATCTGATGAAGTTCAACATTGAGAAATGTAAAGTGCTCCACCTCAGGACAAGCAACCTCCAACACACCTACAGGCTTGGCAGCACCAAACTGACTAGCACCATGAATGAAAGGGACCTGAGGGTAATAATAGACCACAGTATGAATATTAGCCTGCAGTGTAATGCTGTAGCCAATAGGGCAAATAATACTCTGGCATGCATCAGTCGATGCAGCTCCAGCAAAAATAAAGAGGTGTTTTTTTTTTGCCAAAATTCAGCACTGGTGAGATTACAGCTGGAGTACTGAGTCCAGTTCTGGGCACCACACTTCAACAAGGATGTGGACAAGCTTGAGAGAGTCCAAAGAAGAGTCACCCATATGATCAGAGCCTTAAAAGACAAGCCATATGAGGAAATGCTGAGGGATCTAGGACTCTTCAGCCTGAGGAAAAGAAAGCTGAGAGGGGACCTGGTAGCAGCTTATCACTACACTGGGGGACTACAACAAGGGCTCAGTGAGCAACTGTTCACCAGAGGGGAAAACCAGGAGTAATGGCCACAAACTCCTGGAAGATTGATTCAGGCTCAACATTAGGAAAAACTTCTTCACAGTCAGGGTGTCCAGACCATGGAACAAGCTCCCTTCAGAGGTGGTGCAATCACCTACCCTGGCAATCTTCAAGAGGAGATTAGACAGTCACCTTGCTGGGGTCACCTGACCCCCAGTTATCTTTCCTGCTGAGTGCAGGGGGCTGGACCCTATGATCTTCCGAGGTCCTTTCCGGCCTTACAATCGATGAATCTATGAGTGTATTCAATTAAAAATGTGCAAGAACAAAGTTATGTTGGTACTAATTCCAAAACCTGTCTGTCACCAGCAGAAGATGGTCAGGCAGACTCAGATCATTTAATGTATGTTCTTATTCATATGCCCTAGTGGGTTACTTTCACTCTCTGCCTTGGAGTATTTTCCATTGTGTTCTATGTTTCATTATATTACTTTAATCGTTTCCTCCTTTAGAGCCAGCAAAGGGCATATAAATCAAAAGAGAAAAGTATTCTGTTGTTTTGAGCAAAAGCTTCCTTACATTCTGTGAATTAATTCCTAAATAAAGAATAGCGGGCAAAAATCCTTATTTTTTGCTTTACAAAAACTTTAATTCATGTTATTTCCTTTATACTATTCATCAGTTTGCAGACCTTCTGCCTTCTACTCTTTAGGTCAGGACTCAGTCCTACATTTTTTGCTGTTCACTGTCCAGTATTTCATTCTCCTGACTGATGGCAGCCCATAAATAATGCAAGACCATTTGAGAAATCACAAAGTGTGGAACCTAGTCTCAAGCCGCAGTTGAATAAATGTTCTCAGCTCTGAGGAAGTGTTAGGAGATATAAAATCTTCATCCAAAAGCAAAAGAAAGATGTTGTGCAGGCCCCATATTCCATCTGTTTATGAGAGGAGGCAAACTTTTATTGAGTAATCATAGATCCACTGACCCCCATAACACTCTGCACACTAACATCCATCAAGCCAGTTGGAGCTGAACTCAATGGGGACAATAGGACTTCTCTGGTCATGATCTTCTTGGAGATTTCCTCCTTTAAGAATAAAGCTAAGCCAATCAAATCCTCCAATTAATTCTAAAAGCCAATCATTTTTTATCATATCATAACAGTTTTTCCAAATTGTTTGAAATAAATAATGCAAATATAAATATAACAAATTAGGTAACTTGGATGGTATACAACCAGGGAATACTAACTTTAAAAAAATCTTTCTCTAACACAGGTCCTCCTTCCCACCTCACAGGTGCCTGGTATGTTATTTTGCATAGCAGGTAAATCTACCAAGGATCAGTTAGAGTTTAGCATCTCTTAACAGTTTTAATTTACATTAAACTTTATCCAAAACTGTGGACAACTTCTTATCCTCAGTGAAATTAATAACTTTGCATCATTTAAAAAAAGAAAATAGTAGAGAAAAAGAGAAAATAATAGGGAGTTTATTAATGGTAAAAATGACAAAAATGACAATAGACTACCTGGTTATCATTGGAAGTCAGTGGGTATAGAATCTTTGCTTTGGTTGTTTCTTTTAAAATCCACTGTTAGTAGAAATAGTGTAAGTGTTTTCTGGAAAAGGTGTTTGTTAAGAGCTTCGGGACTTTCTTTACATTTTAGTGTGCTATATTCTAAAATGCCAATGCACACTTAAGTGAAGAATTCTTGTTGGTCCAATAAAAGATATCGCCCATGAGAATTCTTACTTCTTGCATACTTCTGAGCAGGGCTTCTCAAACTTTTGCTTCCTAAGCTGCGCCCTATCCACCCCCACTCCCCCCCCAGCCGCCATGTTATAAAAGCTCCATGGCCCACCTGTGCCACAACAACTGCCCAGCTTCTCAGCCCTACCCACATGGCCGTGGGTGCAGTGGGGCTCAGGGCTCGGTGGTCCCCACTCACTTGAGCAGCAGCAGCTCAGAGCTTCACCTGCCCACAGAACCACCCACAAGATGGAGTCTATAGGGCAAGTGGGGTGGCCCCATAACTCCTACCCCTTCTTTGGGATTTGTCTCAGCCCCATGCTGGGAGGCAGTTCCTCCCTGCACCAGGATGGACCTGGCAGACCCCTAGTTGAGAACCACTGTTCTAGAGCATGTAAACCTTGATGTCACCCTGTTGACCTTGTTTTCTATTTTTACTAAAACCAGGGTTATAGGTTCCCTGAAGCTATGTCCATATATGTTATTATAAATATTACCATTGATTCCAGTGAGCTTATATCAAAAACATCAGTGCAGTAGCTATCAGCCCTATTTAAATGGACATATAGTCCTAATTCATGATTCAGAAGTGATTGAAGCTAGCATTCATTTTACTTTACTAGGTATTATATGGCTTTGGAATTATAAAACTCTAATAGAACACTGTAGAAAAGTTAGGAATCCATTCCCAGCACAAGCTAGGAATAAAATGAAATTAAAAAAATGAAAAAGAACATGTATTTTAACTATAAGGATATAGGAGAATCAAGTAGCTTTTTTACTGTAGAGAACATGCTAGGGGTTTTTCTGCACTTCTGTTGGGCTCCTTCACCTGTTTTGTTCAGACGTTGTGCTAAATTCTTTAGCACCGATGCTCTGGCTTTGGAAAGCAGGATTCAGGTCATGTCTACAATGGCTTTCCACCTGTGTTTTAAATACCATGTTAAAAAAAATAAGTTTATTTGTATCAAATAAGATTGTAATATAGGTTTGTCACATATTAAACCATGTTAAAATTAGCACTTAACATCTATATGTAAGCATATTAATTTATGCAGCTGAGCACGTAAACCGAAACATGGACTGACAGAAGTTGACAGCTGAAATGCCTAAATAAGCAATAGAACATGTTCCTGCAACCAAATCAGAATATCACTGTACCCAGAATAAATAATAATACCTATGGCTGATTCTGATCACAGTAAACATGGGACCTTGCAATGTTATATAAATCTCCACCTACAATGCATAGGCGGTGGAAGGGGTGGGGAGGAGGGTTAATGGGATTTAGACCCCCCCCAACAAATACAGGGCAGTGGAAGGCCTAAATGGCAGCCTGGCTGTGGGCTTCCGGTGGCTGCAGCATGGGTGGGGAGGGGCATATGCACAGTGGTGAGGTAGGGGTTGGGGCTGGGGCTAGGGGAGGGGCAGGTGCTGCATAGCCACGGCAGAGCAAAGGATTTAGCTGCAAGCAGTTCATATTGGGGTCATGGCTCCTGCTGCTATGAGCACCCTGGGAGGCATGGGGAGTGTGTGCCCCTGGATCTGCATGGGGTACGGCAGGCTGCTGCTTCAGGCTGGGGCTAGGGCTGTGCTGGGCTCTTCCTGGTGGGGGAGGGGCTAGGCCAGGCTGTGCTCGGGCTGGGTGGCAGTAGCACTTGGAGGGGGTCATGGGTGGGAGGCTGCAGCCAGTCCAAAATTCACTGTAGCCCCTCCCGACTCCTCCTCCCAACACTGCTGCCACCTGCCTCAAGCTCATTGTGGTCCAGCCCCTGCCAGGAAGAGCCTATGTAGCCCCAGATGCAGCCCACAGTGGCAGCCTGCCTTGCCCTGCACAGATCCAGGAGCACACGCCCACTCCCAAGCCCTCCCAGGGGATGTGCAGCGGAGGGAGCCACCACCCTCTCCCCATGCCTCCTTGATGAGCCAGGGCTCTGTCCTATGCCTGCCACAGCTGTGCAGGGCCTGTCCCTGCCCCAGTTCCACTCTCTCCACCCCATGGCCCATTCTCCTCCCCCTCTGCCTCTTCCCCCGCAGACTTACCTGCTGGGCGGGCATGCATGCTCATCCCCTCCCACCAAAGTTTTTGCTCACTCTGCCAATGCTACAGTCTGTTTGAAGAGCAGTGTCAGAATGCAGCTGGGCACATGGAGAAAAGTAGGGGCAATATGTTTTGGTTTGTAATCATAAATGCAAACATATAGGGGTCAGCAGCCTTTTTTTTTCAGCCCACATAAATTTATTTCCCACGTTGAAGGGAAAAAGAAGCAAAGTCATGGAAAAAGGAAAGGTGGGAGGGAACAGTAGAAGGAGAAAGCATGCTGGGCCCGGGGGAGATCCAAAAGCTATCCCAGATGTTCACACCCTCTAGTAATGGGGGAGGGGCCCCATTGCAGGTATGTTGTAGTAAAGTGTATATTTGTAAAGATTTTTATCCTTCAATATTAAAAGATTCAACATTAATTTTGAGCTTCAAGTAGTTTAACCTTCCAAACCTTATTTTGCAGGCAAATCATATTCTATACAGCCTTTTTTGTTCTCTCTTTTTGTATAGCAGAACTTTTTCCATTAAAATAGATTTTAGTTCATTACAAGAGGAGGAAAAATTATGATTTAACAGAATGCTGCATAAGAACTAAATTGAATTAGCATGAGCACTTTCAAAATTCATTTACACACTAATAGTGAAATGGTTTATGGACAGACTAGGTCGTAAATTATTGATTGGCTAATCATATTCTCTTCGTACTCAATTACTGACTAACTGCTAAATCACCTTTCCTTCAATAACAGATATGTTCAAAATGCATTGTGAAGGCTAAGCAACTCCCCCTACATCCATTATATTCCCTAACAAATTAAAAACTTCTTAATCTTATGATTTCTCAGTAAAGTTTACCGTTTTCAAGCCCCTTTTCTTCTTCTTTTTCTCTCTTTTGAGAATCAGTTCAGCTATGCACAAGTTGGACTGCGTTTCTTCAGAAATGTTCAGTGTGAACCATTTCAAGTAGGTATTTTTACCCCAAAAGGACTGGCTATCATTTATTTGGAGGGGGGGGGCTTTAATTAAACTTTACATTTATACTTATAAATAAACTAGTTAGTACTGGTTGAACCTTTACAATTGCAGAAGACAGATTTTTCTCTTAAAACTTCAACAAATTTTTGGTATGGGTTGGAACTCTGCAAACAACATATAATTATTGGTTTAATCCTGCAAAGTGGGTAAAAGGATTAGTAGAAAGAAAAGCATTACTAAACATTTCTAAATCTCAAGGAAAAATCCAGTTCTGTTCTACTTGGTGTTTGCCACAGGCCATTTTTTATATTTTTGTTTTGAGCAGCATACCACTTTGATATATTCTATTTATTTGTGTATTAGTCAATGAATAGAGAATGAAAAATCAAACATTCTCTCAAGAAAGAGATGCTTGTTTTGGATTTGAAGTAGGCAGTGTAGCTGAACTTATATTTTAACAAAATATATTAAGTTATGCATTTCATAAGATGAGGAAAATCTAAGACACCTCTGTAGAATTCACATTACATTCCTTGTAAGTTGTCCTAGATGCAGCCGGTAATAGGGTTCTGATCATAAGATTATTGGCTTTGTTACCCTTTCTTGTAAAAAATATGCACAAGAACTGGTTATCATGTCACATTTACTGATTTGTTGCTGACTTTGAAAGATGTCATTATTTTGATAGAGTTGTATTGATTTCACAGCTTACTTACTGATATTAGTATTGGCATCTTGAGGTTTGATCAACAGATTTATGGCTTGCTATAACAATGAATGTAAGACCTAAATTCTCCTGTGCACTTAGGATGAGAGCTGTCATAGCATGGAAATTAGAGATGGGAAAGACATATTAGATTATCCAAGACATGCGTTCCCAATACAAGATTTTGTCATGCAGTATATAGTATTATACTGTATATAGTATATAGTATATATAAACTTTTTAGTGGTTTGTGCAGTTTAGTTTCATACCATTAGAGGGTTTCACTGTTTGCTCTAGAAGACTGTTCAATGACTTGATACATCCAAATCAACATTTTTTCTGATAATTTTTCTTCCTTTATTTTATCAATTTTTTTCTTTACAAACCAACATATTAGTTTAACACACTTCAATCAGCAGTAAGCTGCTTTTTCTTTCCCCTGCTAGTTGTTGTTTAGCAGAAAGTTTGGTATTAGTTCTTGGGGCACATCCACACATGTAGGGATGTATGCCTGCAGTGGCACAAATAGCAGCAGGATGCATTTGTGTCAGAGATTTGTGCCTCAGCACATGTGCTTGAATGTGCATTTTGGTGCTAGGCAAATTGTACCATTTTGGGGAAACTAACCCTGCCCAGTTCCTCCTGGATCTTCAGCCAGGGAGGCATAGAGGCTGCGGCAACACCTGTGCTGGCCTCAGCAATAGAAAAAGGTTTCCTGGTAAGCAGTTCTTGCCCTGCCCTGGCGTCCTGGTGAGCAGGACTACTTGCCCTCAGGAACTTCTCAGCCCTGGCCAGTTGGTGTCTGGGGACACTAGTCCCCAGTGCCAGCTGAAGTGCTGCAGCAGCCCTGACCAAGAGTGTTCCCTTCACCCTTTACCCACTTCCGCAGTCTGGCAACAGGGACTAGAGAGAATAGTTATCCTACTTTCACCTAGAAGAAATCCAGAATGGTTCAACTTACTGTGAAAAGAAGCAGGTGATCTGTAAGTGCCATACACATGAATGCAAAGTGCCAGCAAAGACAGAGTGACTCAGGTATAACTTTGAGTCGTGCTTGCTCATGCCATAGCTAGATCAGTGTTCAAATTTGGATGTCAGTAACTGAATTTAACCATTCAAGCTAGGGACATACACTGGAAGTTGCACATACACTGGTTTAAGTGATCAGAAACTGGTTAAACTTGTAAAAAAACATAAGTTCAGTGTACATAAACTAGTTTCAAAATGGCCCAAACTGGTTTAAGATAAACCTGTTTGAATATAGACTTCACTGCTTTTGGTCAAAAAAGTTTATGCAACTTCTGTCCCAGGTCCCTTCCTAGTTGATGTTAAATCAGAGTTCCCCAGCATCCCAACATGTTTTTCATCCCTGAGCTGGGCTGGGCTGGGCTGGGCTGGGCTGGGCTGTCTGCTCCAGAGAGCAGGGCTGGTCCTGCCCCTCTCCTCCCTACCTGGAGCTCCAGCTGGCTGAGAAGGAGATGGAGACTTCAAGCGCAGTAGTGTCTGCCTAGCTTTCCCTGTTCCACCCTCCCCTCACTCACTGCACAAGCAGGGGTCCCTTTTTTCCTACAGCAAGGACCCTAACCAGCTTCTGGCAATGTTACCTCCATACCAGCTAATGCTGAGATGTGTATGTGTGTGTGTATCCAATTTTACTGGAACAAAGACAGACATAACAGTGTCCACTTAAGGCTTTCTGGAACTAATCATCAGGTCAGCTGGTAATGTCCCTCCCTTCTTCCTTAAATGCCTTGAAAAAAGCTGTTTAAGAAGAGCTTGAACTAATGACAGAAGCTTTGTTTCCTTGATGAGCTGATAAGCTGTTTGTTCTGATAAGCTTCCTGCTGGCTTGCTTGCTCCAAAGGCCACAATCTGACAGTGTTCAAGAGGGGACAGAGAGAGGAGTGAGAAATAACCTGGTTTCAATGCATGGGACCTATGAGTGCCCAGCAGTTTGCTGCAGCAAGTATTGAAGGAGTAGGGAGAGAGAGATTGAAAAGTTCAGTATCATCAACAGATGTAGCACTCCACACACGCAGTCCTCCTTCTCTCCCCACTCCCCCTTTGACTCAGAATACTAGCCAGGGGCCACGGTTTGGCAACACTCTCTGCCCCTTGAGTGGCAAGCCAGAAAAAGCCTGGTGAAGGCTGGTTCCCCCTCCCCCTTCAGGCACACCCAGGCTAATGACTGTGCAGGCC